AAATCGATGTCTAAAAGAACGTGTCTAAATGGCACGGAGTCGAAAAGAAACGCGTCCAATCGGGAACAGCGTCCAATCGGCACGAGTCCAATCGGCACGGAGTCGAAGAGGAACGCGTCCAATCGGGATAGTCCAATCGGGACGAGTCCAATCGGACGGAGTCCAAACGGGCATCACTCGTTCCCGAATGTTATTCTCGGTACTATGATTGCTTCATAGATCCATTTGGTTGTTGTGGGAATCATGCCCCATATTGGACCTAGTATTTTGCATAGAAGGTTGAGGTTCTGTTTTGCTGCTGCAACTTTTGAAAAGACATGTTCTCTCTATGTCAGTTTCTCGTTTATTGTCACTCTCAGATACTTCACTTTCCTAGTGGTTTTTAGTTCTTTGTTGGCGAATTTTAATGTGCCAAGTCGAGTCTCTATTTTCCTTGTGACCATCATGGTCTCCATTTTGTCGGGGTTGACTGATAGACCTACCGATTCGCACCATCCTTCTAGCGCTATTAGTGCATCTTGAATTCTTGTTCTGATTTGGGTCATGTTCTTTCCTTCTGCCATAAAGACCACGTCGTCCGCATAGGCCATTACCTTGACATTGTTGTCTTCGAGGGCGTATAGGAGACTGTCCACTGCCATGCACCATAGTAGTGGTGATAATATTCCTCCTTGTGAGCATCCTCCTTGTGAGCATCCTCTTTGGACAGTGCCTTGGATCGTAGTTTCGTCTCTGCTGCTTATTAATTTGCGATTTTCTAGCATGTGTTTGATCCATCTTATCAGACATGCTTCTACTCCGAATTCTTGTATCATTACCTCTGCTGGTGTGCAGTTGAACGCGCCCTCTATGTCGATGAAACATGCCACTACTATATCTTTTTTGTTAATGGCTGTTTCTATGAAGTTGACTATTTTGTGTAAGGCCACTTCTACCGAGTAGCCAGCTCTAAATGCGTTCTGAGATTTGTGTAGAGGCTTCGTGTTATAATTTTTTGCTTTTTATGTGTCTATCTACTAATCTCTCGGTGAGTTTTAGTGTTGTAGACATTAGACAGATTGGTCTGAAGGCTTTTGCCGCTGTGTAGTCATCTTTACCCGGTTTTGGGGAGGAAGACTACTTTCGTTCCTTGCCAGCTGTTTGGTATTACACCTAGAGCTAGGCTAGCTCTGATGATTTTTGTCATGTAGTTTCTTGTTTTCTCGTTCGTTGTTGTCATCTTGAGTGTTTTTGGGTATATCCCATCTAGGCCGAGGGCTTTGTATGGTTGGAATGTGCTTACTGCCCATTTCAATTTCCCTTGGTTTATGATTTTGTTGGCCGTGTTCCAGTCAGCCGGTTGGTTGTACGCTGTATTGGAGACGTTTGTTTCCTCGGTTGTATTTTCCCTTATTGTTAATTCTTGGAACCCTGGGAAGTGGGTATTCATTAGAGTTTTTATAATTTCCTGATTATTGTTTGTGTAAATCCCTTCGGCATTCTTTAGGGTGCCTAGTGCTTCATGTGGTTTTGTTTCAAGTAATTTGTATACTCTTGCTGTTTCTTTCGCAGAGTTGAAGCTGGCGCAGTATTTCTTCCAGCTGTTTCTTTTGGCTTTTAGTATGTTGGTTGTTAGAGTTTTCTTGGCTTCTTTTACTCTGGCCCATTTGCTTGGACCGTGTCTATTCCTTCTTGCTATTTTAGTGAGATTCTTAATGAGCTTTTATTGGTTCGCTATTTCTTCGTTCCACCAAGGTATGTCGATTTTTGTTTTGCACTCATTTTCTTCGGTGCTGTTCTCCCAAGCTTTGGCAATAGTTTTGGTTAGTGCCTCGGCTGGAATGTTTAGCCCTATGCTATTGCTGCCGTATCTCGACGGAAGGTTGTTGATATTTGTGTCTATTTCTTCCAGGAATTCAGTCCATCTGGTTTTTCTTGGGTTTCTTCTGCTGATTGGTGTTCTTGTTGTTGGCTCTTTTATCTCAAAGGGTATGTATCTATGGTCGAAGAGGCTGTCTTTATCTAACACTCTCCAGTTTTTTATCCTATGAGACATTTCTTGAGTGCTGTAGGTTGCATCTAGTACTTCTTCTCTTGTTCTTGTTACAAATGTCGGGGTGTTGCCTCTGTTGTGATATATTAAGCCGAATTCGTCTAGGAATTCCACCATTCTATTGCCTCTGGTGTTGGTGTCAGTGCTGCCCCATCTAGCGTGTCTTACGTTCACATCGGCTCCAATAACTGCTTCGATGTTCTTTTCGATGCACCATGTTAGTATTTCTCTATGTTTGTCACCTGGGGGTGATTCTGTGGCATTCGATGGTAGGTATGTTGCTATGGCGAGCTATCTGTAGTTTTCGTGGTTGTCATTGTTTGTTGGGCTAGGGCTTGTATTTGGATTCTTGTATTCGAAGGCCACTACAGTGTTATCCCTGTCACTTAAATGTGGGATCAGAGTGGCCTCGAGTACCTTTTGTGTGAGAATGCATGTTCTCATTTTGCCATCGTTTGTCGGTGTGTGTATTTTTCCCGCTAGTCCAAGATCTCTGGGCGCATTGTGGCACGGGGGTCCAAGGGTTCTTGGATTAGGGCTATGTTTGCTTTTGTTCTTCTCATTGTTTCGGCTAGGGTGGCTGTCGCCCCCTTGCTATGTTGTAGGTTGTGTTCTGGTTTGTTCGTATATCTTTTGTTAGTTAATATGGTTGTTCCCCGTGTTTCTTCGGTAGGCTAGGTTAGCTTGCTGTGTGTGTTATGATAATTGTTCTTCGCTTTATTTCTTCTTTTGTTCTTCGTCTCTTTTCTTGTCTTTTCTTTTATGGTTTTCTTCCTTTCTGGCTTTTTCTTTGGGGTTTGTTTGCGTTGTCTAGCTAGCTCGGATAGCTAGATATATGTCGGATAGAGGGGATGTATGATATGATGGGTCCCCCTATCCTCTTGCTCGTAGTTGGAGCCGATGAGATGGTTTCTCTATTGGGGGTGAGTTCTGGCTCATTGGCGTGGTCGAGGACGCGATTGGCCCCTCTGATCGGCTGGCGAGGTGCTGAAAGTCGTTCGAGTGGGGAGTGGGGTAATGTATTTGTTTGTTCTTATTGGTTTTGTGGTTTAAATCTTGGTTATTATTATTATTTGTTGTTGAGAGGGGCGCGGGGGGGGGGGGGGTGTCGTTGTGTGGTTGTAGCGTTGTTGGTTGTTGTATTCTGCTTTCCTTTCTTACTTCTTTGTTACCTTTTACCTTTTCCTTCTACTTATCTCTTTTTCTTATTACCCTGATGTGCTTTGTTGGTCTTCTATGCCTGTTTGTGTGTTTTTGTTTGTTTCGTTTTGTTTTAATTTGGTTCTTGTTGTTTGTCGGGTGCATATCATGAGATTTTTTGGGAGGGGATTTTAATGTTTTGGTGTCTTTTGATGTTCAGTTGAATCGGCGTTTCGATGGTCTTCTGGCTGTTGTTATCCCTGTTCCGACTCCCTCCACCTTCGTGGTTAGGCCCTTGGTCCCCCCGTTTAGGCTGAATATAAGTTTCCAATTCCTATCCAGGGGGTCCCCTGGTTAGCCCGGTTCCCTGGGAGCGAGCCCTGATACGCGTATGCATGAGGGATCAGAACCCGTCTTTCCCAGGAGCGCTACGTATACCGCGTGTCTTCCCCAAGAAAGAGTCACAGATAATCTGGGACGTAACAATGTCTTCCATTGTGTGTGTGCGTAGGGCTGTTATTGCTGGTTGCAGGTCTTCTGCATGTATGTATACAGTGTTGTTGTTGTTGCGATATTCTATTCTTCGTGTAGTGGTTCATTGAATCATACGAGCTGTTTACTGTTTTATTGTACAGGGCGCATGTAGGGGCCTTCGTGCGTATGGATATGGGGGTCTGTGTTCGATGCTATAATATTGTCGTGGTGTATTGATGTTGTTACATCCGGTGTCCCTCTTCATCGAACGCTTATTGCGAATAGTTAAGATCAATAGACGTTAAGGAATGCGCTCGGTAAACGATGTGGAAATCGTTCCTCGAACGAAATAATGCTAACCGCGAGTCAGCAAACGGGCGTCAGCGATGTCAGGCCGTTGCATCCGAATCGGCCATCGAACTTGTGACGTGTCCAAGATTCGGAAACCTCGTGCCTTGCGAGGATCTGGGGGGTATATAAACCCGTGGCCACGACCACGGACGCCTTTTTTCTTTTTGCTCTTTGCATATTTCCGTATATTCTGTAGTCGCGGACAGGTTAATCTCTCGCGTTAGTCTCATTTAGGTATCATGTATAGTATCTCCAGCTGAGTAAAGAGTTCGCGTAAGTGAGAACATACGCACTAAAGATAGAGTCACCGCGGTGTTACCTACGAAAGTCCGACGTTTATTATTCGCCAAATATTAGAGTC